ACAATGCCAACCGCGCGCGGCCGTCGACCGGCAAGCACACGCCTCGACTCGGACACAGTGTTCCGAGGGCAAGGGAGAGGGGCTGGCTCCTAGCCCGAGAGGAGAGCTTCCGAGACCCACTACGAGACCACGCACGCATCATCCCGCGGCCTGGCGGTCGGCGGGATTGCAATCAGTCTTCGCGTGCCGCCTGTCGTTCGCTCGGGCGCCTTCGGCGTCGGGGTGGCGGGCAGGGGACGCGGCTCTGAGCGCCCAGCGACGCGTGCCGGATGGAGTCCGGCCGCGGGTGTCTAGGGAAGTTCGCTCAGGATGTGTGGCAGTCAGTTTGGCTGAGTGTCTTGTCTTGTGGTTCTGTGTGTCGCTCCTGTGTGACCGTCATCGCCCGTCTAGCGTCCACCCATACCGCGTTGGTGTCCCAGTCGTTGGTCGGACTGTGTTTCGCCTTCCCATCAATCAATCAATCAGAGTGTCCCCTTGTTTGTTCTCTTGGCACCTTGGAGTGCTGGGGGGGGCGACAGGGAGGATGTGGCCTTGAGTTATGTGTAAGCCGACTCAGGGTGTGTGGCAGCCCGCTGGCTGTGTGTCTTGTGAGCTTGTTTGTGTCTGTGTGTCGCTCGTGCGTGTCGTCATCATCTGTCCAGCGTCCACCCATACCGCGTTGGTGTCCAGTCCGAGCCTGGCTGTTCTTCACCTTTCTACCTACCTACCTATGAGTGTGAGCAATGTGGGTGTCCGCGCGCCCAGATTTTTCCCTAAACAGCTCCGCTAAGCACGGCCCCACGAGCGCGCGCGAGCAGGAGGGAGGAAGGAAGGAGGGGTGAGAGAGATATACGTAGGGGTGTGAGTGAGTGAGTCACACACACACACACACACACACACACACACACACACACACACAACACACACACACACACACACACACACACACACACACACACACACACACACACACACACACACACACACACACACACACACACACACACACACACACACACACACACACACACGCGGAAGGAGGCGCTCCCAGAATGGAGGTGAGGAGTCGTCCGCCGGGGCCGTGGGCGAAGATGGTTGTCCGCTGAGACCGCTCGACGTGTGCGCGACCCACGCGTATCGCCCGGTGACACGCGAGTGAACTCTCGAGCGACGCGGCTCGAGCCTCGAGCGCAGGGACCTGGGGTCTACGTACTACGAAATTACTCCTCGCACGCACGGGGCACACGGGCAGGCATTCGAACACAGGGGAGGACGGAGCAGCTGATGCACAGACACCGATGGCGCAAACTCTAGGAAGAGGTATAGACTGTTAAGCTCCCTGCCGGCGCGCTCAGGAGAGCGTCCGGACAGTGCCGCTGCCGATGACTCGGATGTGTGCCGCGTCGCGCCCGAGCACCGACCGGAAGAGGTCAGAACGTGGCCGGCGCGCTTCCGTGGCCTGTGCAACTGGGCGGCCGGCGAGGTCGACCACGTCGTGGTTCTCTTCGTCGTCAAGGCACTTCTGGTACTCGAGGCTGTCCATGAGCTCGGTGATCCGCCCCGAGCCTCGGCTGGTCCGCGTGCTCGTGCGCCTCCCATCGTGACTGCACAGGCAGCGAGTCAGGGCGGCGGCGAAGCTTCCGCACGGCGTGAGGAGGAGGCCGCTGCGATCGGTCGCGGAGATGCGGCCCGACTCACCATCGGCAGCGAAGTGGACGCCCTTCCCTGCCCTCGTTTTGGGCGGGCTGAAATGCTGACCAGCGCCCTCCGACGACGGCACCACCGCGGCCTCCTGCTTCGAGCGGAAGCGGGCGTACGCGACGGTGGCCGCGACGGGAGGAACGAAGAGGACCGCGCCGTGCGCGGCGGCGGCGCCGGCGCCGACGGCCGCCATCACGACGGGGGCTGGCATGCTGTGCACACGCTTGTGGTACCTGCTGAGATATCAAGGGAGAGGCCGCCCCCCCCGCTGTCGTGAACGCGTCCCAAGCAAGGTCGCAGGATTGAATTCTTTTTTGAGAGCGCCTTCGTTGTTAATACAATCCCCCAGTGGTCCCCACTCGTCGCAGTCACACACACGCACACGCCGTTCAGCACCGCTCGCCCAGCCATCTCTCTCTCCCCGCCCCGCCCCAGGCGGGAAAGAGCGAAAGAGATTCTTTTTGAGAGCGCCTTCGTTGTTAATAATAATACAGACGGATGGACACTTGCTGCAGCCACATGACATGCACACACCCGCACCGCACCGCACCCCGCACCCGCGCCCCGCCTCGCCTGAGTTGGAAGGAGATGAGAAGATGGAACAGCCCGAGGGAGAAGCGGAACAAAATACGTAGGTTGAAGTCGTGCACCACGCTGCCCGCCCGGCCAAAGGATATCCACCTCGAGAACCTCGATCGAGAGAGGGGTGATCCCCCGAGGGTGCCCCAACCCTGGCCTGACCTGCTCATATGCTCACTCAGTCTCGCGCGAGCACAGGACACTGCGTCGTCCGCCCATTTCTGGTGCCCTGCAAACCAGCACGGTGACCCACGATGCCGGGGCAGGACGGTGGACCGCGACGAGGCTCGGTCCGGTGGTTGATTGTGCGCTCCCTGCTACGAGTCGACGACTTGGACCGTCAGAATCTGGTCAACGAGGTCATGGCGGACTCGGAGCTGGAGCGTCAGTCGGCGGTCACGGCTCTGTCTAGAGAGGTGTGCCCGCCGCCTCTACCTGCACTGCCACCGTCGCGCGCCGCCCGTCTCATAGCTTTTGCCGATGTGGTCGTGTGGGGTAATATTGGCGGCGTGCGAGCGCAAATTGTGTAAGCTCGGGCGGTGTGGTGGTTGGGCTGCGCGACGGTCATCGGCCCGCGGCCGCGGCGCCTCTCGGATGCCACCCGAACGCTCGCTAACCGCGCCGCCCGTCGCTTGCGCAGGCATCCTACCCACAGCCGCTGTGGCGGCAGAGCGGAAACGCCTACTCGCTGACGGCGGCGGGCGAGGCGATGCGTGCCGAGATCGACGGCGCGCCGGTCAAGTACGCCGGCTGGGACGCCTACTGCGACGTGTGCGGCCGCGGCGAGTCGGAGGAGGGCAACGAGATTCTCCTCTGCGACGGCGACGGCTGCGGCGTGTGCCACGCCCGACTCTGCCCGGGCCTCCCGACACGCGCAGCCACGCACCGCAGCTGACACGCACACACGCGCAAGAGCACCGCACACCGCCGGCAGCGCACCCCTCTGCTTCCGTCGCCGCACGACCGCCGCCGCCTCGCTGGTCGCGGTCTGGCCCGCCGCCTGCCTCCGCCACCGCCACCGCTCTCGCTCTCGCCATCTCCTCACCGCGCGTGCCTCGCGCCTTGTGCGTGGGGAGGGGGAGGGGGGGGGGGGGGCGGAACTCTCCCCAAGAGCGCCACTCTTGGAGCGCCGCCGCCGCCACCCAAAGCTGCCTGCGAGCAGCGCCGGGCGAGGACGGGAGGGAGGGACAACCCGCCCGCCCATCTCCCCCTCGGGACACCCGGCTTCCCAGCAGCCAATGAAGTGTACGGTCAAACACTCGCACCCCAGGTGCCATCGGCCCCGCCCCTGATGAGCTTCTCAATCTTCCTATGTATCCAGAGCTTATAAGGCTCTTGGCATGATCACT